GAGGACAAACTGACCACAATTTTCACTCTGCTACTGTCTTTACTTACTCTGCTCAACCTGTTTTGTATTTGTAATTATTTTTTCTATCCTTAACATGTGTTGTTTTTGTCTTTCAGATACACCTGGACCTACCATTCTGTGTTCGTCTGTCTCTCCTTCCTGTCCTCTCAACCAGCCGGTCAAAGCAGATGGCTGCTTGTCCTAAGCCTGGTTCTGCTGGAGGTTTCTTCCTTTTAAAAGGGGAGTTTTTCCTTTGCACTGTTGCCTCTGTGCTTGCTCAGGATGGGAGACTGCAACGAAGCCAAGATTCAACTTGTCTGCTGGATTCCTTAGATAGAGAACTTCACTAATTGGCTTTTATGTATGTGAATGTTTCTGTAAAGTGCCCTGAGACAACTTTGTTGTGATTTGGCGCTATATAAATAAACTGAATTGAATTGAAATTAAAGAGGGCTGTTGAGGCAGTAAACTTACATAAGCCAAGGAACAGGTAAGTAGCAGGACACAGGAGCAAAACAGACATCACAAAGGACAATGACCAGACAACGAGGGAGGCAGACAAACAGACTTAAATACAAACACTAATGAGACAACGCAGAACACCTGTGACGCATCATAGGTGCAGACATCAGAGGGGGAGCAGACAAATATAGAACACAAGAGGGAGCCAAAGACCAGGGGAAGCACAACTCCTACAACTGGAAGTTTTGGATGTTTAGGCGGTTGCTGGAAATTTTGGATGTTTTTGGCGGTTGCAGGAAATTTTTGTTGTTTAGGTGGTTGCTGAAAGTTTTGGGTGTTTTGGGCAGTTGCTGGAAATTTTTGATGTTTTGGGTGGTCGCTGGAAGTTTTAGATGTTCTGGGCTTTCGAAGGACGTTTTGGATGTTTTGTGTGGTCACAACGTTTTGGATGTTTACGGTGGTCGCAGGATGTTTTGGAAGTTTTGAGTGGTTGCTGGAAGTTTTTGATATTTAGGGTGGTCACAGGATGTTTTGGATGTTTTGAGTGGTTGCTGGAAGTTTTTGATGTTTAGGGTTGTTGCTGGATGTTTTGAGTGGTCACTGGACGTTTTTGATGTTTAAGGTAGTCACTGGATGTTTTGAGTGGTCGCTGGAAATTTTTGATGTTTAGGGTGGTCGCAGGATGTTTTGGGTGATCACTGGACCTTTTTGATGTTTAGGGTGATCACTGGACCTTTTTGATGTTTAGGGTGGTCGCAGGATGTTTTGGGTGGTCACTGGACCTTTTTGATGTTTAGGGTGGTCGCAGGATGTTTTGAGTGGTTTCTGGACGTTTTGATGTTTAGGGTGGTCGCTGGATGTTTTGGGTGATCGCTGCATTTATTCTCTTCAGAAGTTGTCAAGTTAAAGTTGAGGTCCTGCCAAGCACACCTTCATCTCATCTTTTCATCCTTTTCTGTCCCTAAAAGCCCTGAGCATCTTCTCCTCTCTGGTGTTTGTACCTCAGCATTGTCAGGTGTTTTTAGTCTTAGCTCTAATTTTCCTGCAGCATGGTGAAACCACTGTTAAACTGTACTTTCTGATGTCATGTTTTACCCTGCATGTACAAAAACCCTGTTGTGATGATGTTGTCAGGTGAAATGATCCACACGCCGGCCTAGTTTCCTACTGTCTTGTTCCTTAAAAAAAAGAACAATATAAAAAATATTTTTTGACTTTTTTTATCTGTAAGCAGAAAGTTATCATTTCTGAGTTTTAAATACATCCACAAAGTTTCCTCCAACACTTTTTATTTTTCAGAGTTGCTGCTTATCATTGAATCTCTGAAAGGTGTTATTCTTAAGATTCAGACCTGGTTGGACATGTCAGTGGTTGCCGTGGTAACAACAGATGCCCTTTAATACCTGCAAAGATGTTTGCTTTATGTCAGACTGAACACTGAAATACAGCAGGTGCAGAACAATGCTTTGTCTCTGGTTGTGTGTGTTTTTTTTCCCCTGATTGTCGTGGCGACAACAGCCTTGGTGATTTTTACCAATCTGTTAGCAGATTATCAAGCATAAAACAGTAAAGAGCCCATAACAGTTGTTTACCACGAAGATAACGGCAGATGATGTCTGCCTGTAGGTAATGAGAGAAAGCTTTTCACTCGTGACATGAGATGCCAGAGGAGCTGGGTGACGAGGACAGTCTGACTAGGGGTTGAACAACTACATAATTTTTAAACTTGACATTAACATAAGCTAGAGTAGAACTCAAGATGAAAAAATAAATAAAAAAAAAAAACTTAAAAAAAAAAAAAAACATTATTTACAAAAAAAAGACCAACAAAACATTGGAAAAGTGTATTATTCTCCTACCATTTATCATACTGCAAATAAGTCACAGTAAACCAAAACTGTTAGTTATTATTATTAATTCAATTCAGTTTATTTATACAGCGCCAAATCACAACAAAGTTGTCTCAGGGCACTTTACAGAAACATTCACATGCATAAAAGCCAATTAGTAAAGTTCTCTATCTAAGGAATTCAGCAGACAAGTTGAATCTTGGCTTCGTTGCAGTCTCCCATCCTGAGCAAACACAGTGAAAACAGTGGAAAGAACAACTCCCTTCTAAAAGGAAGAAACCTCCAGCAGAACCAGGCTCAAGACAAGCGGCCATCTGCTTTGACTGGCTGGTTGAGAGGACAGGAAGGAGCGGCAGACAAACACAGAATGGTAGGTCCAGGTATAGTTCCAGGTGTATCTGAAAGACAAAAACAACACATGTTAAAGATAGAAAAAATAATTACAAATACAAAACAGGTTGAGCAGAGTAAGTAAAGACAGCAGCAGAGTGAAAATTGTGGTCAGTTTGTCCTCCAGCAGTCTAAGCCTATAGCAGCATAACTAAGGGACAGCTCAGGAAACCCAAGCCGACCCTAACTATAGGATTTAGCAAACAGGAAAGTCTTAAGCCGAGTTTTAAAACTGGATAATGTGTCAGCCTCACGGACAGAGATTGGAAGTTGGTTCCACAAGAGAGGAGCCTGATAACTGAAAGATCTGCCTCCCATTCTGTTTTTGTAAATTCTAGGAACCACAAGTAAACCTGCAGTCTGAGAGCCAAGTGCTCTGTTAGGAAAATATGGAACAATAAGATCTGTAATATAAGGTGGAGCTAGGTTGTTGAGAGCTTTGTAGCTTAGAAGTAAGATTTTGAATTCTATTCTGGATTTGACAGGGAGCCAATGGAGAGAAACTAAAACTGGAGAAGTATGATCTGTCCTACTGACTCCGGTTAAGACTCTGGCAGCAGCATTTTGGATCAACTGAAGACGTTTTAAAGATGTATTTGGACATCCAGATAATAAACCATTGCAATAGTCCAGTTTAGACGTGACAAATGCATGGACCAGTTTTTCTGCATTATTTTTAGATCAGATGTTTCTAATTTTAGTGATATTACGCAGATGGAAGATGGCAGTTCTAGTAACGTTTTTAATGTGGGGGATAAAAGACATGTCCTGATCAAAAATAACACCAAACAGAAAACAGAATCACCAAGATTTTTAACATTAGAGCTGGAGGACAGATTAATGCCATCTAAGGAGGGAGAAAGACTGAAAAATTAATTCCTAAGGTGCTCAGGTCCAAAAACCAAAACCTCATGAGGTCTTGTCTGTGTTCAACAGGAGAAAATTAAGGGTCATCCAGGTTTTTATGTCTTTAAGACATGCTTGTAGTCTAAGTAGCTGATTGGATTCATTGGGTTTAATGGACAAATATAATTGTGTGTCATCAGCATAACAATGAAAATTTATCCCATGCTGTTTAATAACTTTATCTAATGGAAGCATATATAAAGTAAAGAGTATTGGCCCAAGCACTGAGCCCTGAGGAACTCCATGACTAACTATTAAGCTGCAAAAGTGAAAGAAATAACGTGCAGCACGTCAAAAACGAAACTAAAAACAGTGGGGCGGTTGACCACCTTGTACTACCGCTAGCTGTGGTGCGCGTTAGGTTTAGTTTTAGAGATTAATATGTTTATAGGTTTTTTATAGGTTTTTGCTTTTAGTTTGTGAAACAAGGTCAGAAGGAAGCTGGTTCTGGTTCAGTCGATTGGACCCGGTGTTACACCATATTCTGTGACCTGCAACAGTGCATGCAACACTGCCCCCTACGGTCACAATATACGGTGGTCACAGAATATGGTATAACACCGGTTCGCAGCGAGCTCCAAACAGTCAGGAAGTTGATTCATTTTCTGTTTCCTTACGGTAGTTGAAACGGAAGATTCATCTTTAGTGAAATATTTCCATACTACTGATGCATTTCTACTTGTTTGCCAAGACTATGTCTGCTCCGCTCAGTCCATCTGCTGGGAGGAATTCATTTGGTAGCTTCTACTAGTAGCCCGGTGCGGATCACGTGACACAATGACGTCACTGCAAATACTCGACATGAAATCTCAAAATAATAGATGTCCTAGGAATCGACCTGTCGATTACTCGAGCAGTCTGTTAAAGCCCTAAGTCTGACTGACACTAATTCTGCTCGGCACAAAGTGAATACCTGCCACTCAATCATTTTACGTCAATATTCCCGGCTTCAAAATGAAAATTGGACAAAATCATCCATTTGCTAGGACCCATCACTCTGCGTTGCCTTGGATGAACAAACGAAAAACTACCTCTGTTCTTCTCCACAGTGTAACTCCTCCCCACTTGAATACATTACCTAGTTTACTTCATTCCCTGTTCAATACCCGTTCAGAAAAACAGTCATATTGAAAACATTAAACGCTGGCTTTTCAAAGCCCTGAGTGTTGGTGGACATCAGCGTACCTCTCAAACGGTTCCTGTGCTGGTTCTGTGGACACAGAGCACAAACAGTTTGACGGTGAACACTGCAGAATATCTTTGTTTATGTTGTTTGTTTGAAACCACTGGAAACTTTTGGGCTGTTACTGTCCCTGAAACACGGTGACCGCTCATGGTTTCGAGTTAGTGGGTCTTTTCAGGCCTGTAACCAGGTTCTGTCTGCCTGTTCAGTGTCGAGACGTGAGGACCAGAGAAGTGGGCATTCAGGAGATCCACCACAAAGTCAGGCCTTACCAGGTAATACCGATGGTAAAGCGTACATCACTGTGTGTGCAATTTGTGTCCATGAGCTGACAGATCCGTGTCTGCAGGTGGAGCTGGTGAGGAGGGACTACGTGGCCAACGGTGGCTGGGAGACCTTCCTGTCCTACGAGGACCCGGAGCAGGACATCCTTATCGGCCTGCTGCGGCTGCGGCGCTGCTCTCCTCAGTCCTTTAGACCTGAGCTGAAAGGAGGAGTGTCCATCGTCCGCGAGCTGCACGTGTACGGCAGCGTGGTCCCTGTGAGCAGCCGAGACCCCAGCAAGTTTCAGCATCAGGTGGGCCACAGATCAGAGAGCCCAGCTAGGTCCTCATCAGAACCAGGATCTGAGCCTGTCTGAAAACTCATTCTGTTTGTTGGCTCAGGGCTTCGGGATGATGCTGATGGAGGAGGCTGAGAGGATTGCCAGAGATGAACATGGTTCTGGCAAACTGGCCGTGATTTCAGGTGAAACACAAAGCAGAGTTACCTGCTCCCTCACTTCACTCCGGTTTTTAGTTCGCAGCAACCACAGAAAAAGCTCATGAGACTTTACTATTTTTATGAGCACCCCTGTTGATGAGACTCATCTGGCCATCAAGGACATAGTTGTCATGACAACACCAGCTGTTTGCTGGTTTTAGAAAAAGATTTCACAACAAATGGACTGAAGAGAAAACAATAAAAGTTTGGAAAAGTCCCATCAAATCAAAATGTACACACAAATACACACACATTGATCATTACTCTCATACATGACATACATAGATGTATACATGTATCTCATATGTACATGAGCGGAAAACATACATACATGTATTTATGTATACATACAGCAGAAGTTTGTGATGTAACACACTTGTGTGCTTGTGTGTGTCGTCCTGCAGGTGTAGGAACAAGGAACTACTACAGGAAGATGGGCTACGAGCTGGAGGGACCGTATATGGTGAAGGACCTCTACGGTCCAGGAAGGGACTGAACTTTTATCTGGACGCAGCATGCAGTCTCCAGCACACACGAGTGATTTTATTTATCAGGAGCAGATTGCTGGGACACGATTCCTGCGGTGCAGCGGTTCCAGCTTCAGAGGAGATAATAACGGTCGGGTTTTGTGCTCGGCTCATTTGTCTGCTTTTATCTGGAACACAAAGCTGCTGCGTCTCCTCTGCTTTATTTAGATAAGAGGACGGGACTGTGCTGGGGGCGCTTTAGACTTTACATTTGGAGGTGAACATATTTTACAGGAAGTGTTTGGTTAAAGACAGGTGTGTGTGGGCTGACGTCTGAAAATCACCAGGTGAATTCGCTTTGAACCGCTCAGGATCCATGACATGAAACAACAACCTGCAGAGGACGCTTTTACCTTTTAGGGATGTTTTCAAAGTGAAACTCTGTGGATAATTAATATCCTACATGTTGCTCACTACTATAGCTAACACTTCCATACGTAACTTTTGAAATTAACCCTATTCAAGATGGCCGCCACAGTTAAAGGTATAAATGTCTAACTCAGTCAGTTTCATACAGCTAAGGTGATGTAGCGGAGTCATCCCAAACACACACTTTCAGAAAATGTTGCTGATATTTACATGAAAATCTCACTTTGTTCGTCACCGCAAACAGCAGCAGCTAGCTGTAGCACTTCTGGGGCGCCTCCTATGGGAAGATAAAATTTCTGCCAGAATCGTCTTGAAGCTGATGACAGTTTAAAGGTTTGTGTAAGAAATGTAGATGTTTGGAGCTGTTAGCTTGTTAGTTATTTAGTGAACAGAAAGATGGCGGCGACTCCGTTAACGTCTGTTGACTAAAACTGAAAACAAAATGTCTGTTTGGGTGCTGCCATGTTGGCTTTTCAGAGCTCTCTATGGACGTGGGGCTGTACCCTCAATACTGCTTTAAAAAAAGTCTCACTAACAATCACAGAAACCTGACTGTTTAAATAACTTTATAAAGTAAACGTGTTAAAAAAAGTCTTATCATACAGCAGCAGGACGAGAGCTACATGAATCGACAAAAACAGCACCCGAATAAAAATAAAACTGTCCCACATGAAAGGGCGGGGCTTAACGATGGTACTGCAGCCACTAGGGGGCATGGCTTTTGACTTCAACTTCTGACTTCCTGTCCTGTCTCTAGTTATCGTGTTTGTGACTCCAGCAGAAATATCTTTTTGCAGGATTCCACCCCCCACCCTGCCATGGTGCACCAAAAGTGCTACAGCTAGCTGCTGCTGCTAGTTGTATGTAAATACTCCCCGCACCAGTTTATAAAACTGGTCTGAGCTGCCTTTGGGTCCTCAGCTTCATCCTGAGGTCTTGGCCGAGCTTTGTACCACATACACCACTGAAGCCCATTTTTAAATGAAACGTTCCTGTTTCCTGATGTCTTGGTTGTCTTTGAGTCGTTGTTTTTTCGGGGTAAATTCCTGCCTAGAGTCACGGTTTGAGTTAATCCTGTTTCTGTTGCAATCAAGGGAAACCGTTGAGAGTGAGGGGTGTCCTCACTGGGCAGCGGTTGTGTAACCGCTCTCTTTTTTTAATTATAGGGCAGGAAGTTATTATTAGTGTTGAATAAAGGCCCCTTCTGATAATCGTGTTTGTCCGTCATGCATACATGGGCTTTGTGTATTCTGGTAAAATCCAAACAGACTCAGAACTGGGCTCGTTTTTCTTGAAGCTAAAGTCCATTTCAGGTTCGGACCCTGCGTCGTCTCTTTCTGGTGACGAGACGTTTCAGTTATTTGAACTTTGAAAGACAGAAGCTGAAAGGTCTCCACTCTGAAAGAAAGGTCACACAGTGAGAGTGCTTTCTGTAATTTATTCCTCAGAGTCGGGGGTGGGGGGCCTGCAGCAGACCCCTCCTGATTGCCCTCTGAGACTGTTTACCTGCCTCATTGGATCCAGCCTCTCCAGTAACATCTCCATCACCGGGCTGTCTGCCGAGCCCTGACGGAGCGCCGTGTTCAGCAGCTGTACCGTTACTGGAGAGGATTAGTCATTTGAAAAATAGCCAGCAGTAAAACGCAGGAAGGCTCACTTCATTGAGCCGAGACTCGTATAGATTTTCGCTCCACGGGGGGAGGGGGGGACACCTAATTTCCTGGTCTGAGCCGGGACTCTGCTGCTGTGTTGCAGTCCTGACGCAGTGAGGAAAAGGGCCGCATTCAGGCTTCCTCTCCACGCCTGCTCACTGGCTATCAGCTGTGAAATCTGACCCCCCCCCCCCTGTCCTCCTGGGTGGGGCTTGCTGAGTCTGTGCTGAACTCATTTGTTGGCTCTAATCGTCACCAAGATGAGCCGAAGGGAGGGCAGCTTCCTTAAGACTGCAGAGCTGAAGGTTACACTGCAGAGACTACAGCAGCAGAAAGAGACGAGGGACGGAGTCGTGCACATTCAAGGATTCAAGGTTCTTTATTTGTCATATGCATCACATGTGGTACATGTGGTGGAACAAAATTGTGTACACAGGGTCCCAGTTACATCCAACAAAAGTATAAAATGTAAAAGAAAACAATAAAAAAGATCTAAGATATGAGCTAAGAAAAATGTTAACTGAAAACACACTAAGCACTAGTAGCATAAAAACAATACGCCGAACAGCAGCACGAACATGAGTGTGTGAGCAGATGAGCACGCATGAACACATCTCTCCACAGACGAATGGCTCAACACAAGACTCAGTGATAAGATAAGTGCTATGTGTTGTCATCATATGTTCTCATACAGTGGCAAATCAGTTCTCTGCATTTAACCCATCACACCTGGGATGCACTCAGGTTGGGAAGTGGGTAGCTGTGTGGATGCCCAGGGACAGTTGGGGATTGGGTGTCTTGCTCAGGGACACCACGGCATGTGGGGGTGGCTGGGGATCAAGCCTGGGGCTTTCGGGTTCCGGGTCAGCTGCCCTGCCTCTACCCTATCTTGGCCCCCTACATACTGTACCCCTACTCGGATCCGCCTACACCTCCAGCGGAGCTGAGTGTAACTCTACAATCATCATCAGGGACATGGACGTCACCGTTGAAAGACAAATGGATCCGGTGTAGACCTCATCGAGTTTAGTAACACCTTGTGGAGAACCGTTACAAAGTCCCAACGCTCGCTTGGCCTCTGTTCAGTAAAATAATAGAGCATGGTGCGTGCATATATACACAGTCCCTCAATGGTCACCGTCGATGACCCATTCTTACTTCAGCCGTTTGTTTGCACATAACCATCAATCTTAACAATGTTCAGATTTTACTTTATGAATTTCTTCCTCACTTTAAAGTCCGCCTCCTAAAGGACCAGGTGTTGGTCAGCTGACTGACATGATTTACCCTCAGAAAAGGGAAAAATAAAACTCATTTTATTCCCCCATTTTTCATTTATTTTGGTGCAGTCAGACAATAAACAATATTTTTTGTACTAATCATAAAAACCCTTATAATTTTATTTTACAAATGGTCTCCGACCTCACAGGAACTTTAATAAACTTGCGTCACAAAATTGTCACTTATTAGGAGTTACTAATGAGGGACATAGGTTTGCTTTTTGTTTAATTGCCATAAAATAAAAATTAACATGTATTTTTATTTTTTAAAAATGTAGATTTTTATTTTTAAACAAAAGGCCCTTAGTGTTTTTTAAAAGTCATTTAAATTGAATATGTTTATTGCAGATTGATGTGGAATGAATGGTGGCACAGAGGTTAAAGAGGGTGGGCCTGTGATCAGAAGGTTGCCGGTTCAACGCCCCAGACCATCCATCCATTATCTTCCTCTTGTTCTGAAGTCCAGTCTCAGGGGCAGCAGCTCGAGTAGAGAGGTCCAGACATGTCTTTCCACAGCCACCTCTTCCAGCTAGTCTCCAGTTAGCCTCATTGTGCCTCGAGGACTCATTTACAAGAGAGATCTGTTTTAAACAAAGAACACAGATGAGGTACAAACAACAATAAACAATCATATAAAAACATATAAAATGAAAAGTAAATAGAAGAAATTATATCAAAATAAAACAAAAACAGCTACAGCTACATTGTAAAGCGATGTAAAATACTAAAAACAGGAACATGTCTATGTTGGTTTTTGCCAAATTCCCTTGGAGAGGTCAAGGTCGAGAGCTTCAGATCTTGCAAGACGTTCCTAGGCCACCAAGAGACGTACTCTCTCCAGTGTGTCCTGGGTCTTCCCCGCGGTCTCCTCCTAGTCGGTCATGCCCAAAGCACCTCCCTAGTGAGGCGCCAGGAAGCATCCTTACAAGATGTGTGAACCACCTCAACCGGCTCCTCTCGATGTGGAGGAGCAATGGTTCTACTCCGAGTCTCTCCTGATAACTGAACTTCTCACCCTATCTCTTGTAAACTCAAAAATCACACCACTGACGTTAAATATCCACACTTTAATCTTCATCATTAACATAACAAAGGCTGCATCTGTCTCCCGCTTTTTCCCCTTCTCAGTAACCTCTGACACATGCACAGTAGGCTACTTACAATTTAACAATCTCCCCTCTTCTTTTTTAACAAATACATGAGATTAGAACAAATTCTGTAACAACATTTTGATATTGTCTTAACTTATCTGAACTTAACTTATGTAAGGAACACTAGTGTTTTGTTTGTTTTTAATTTTTTATATTTAAATTGCCATTCCCCTTTACTTAGGCTTGTCGCGATAAACAATAATTGAATTAATCGAATGACCTAATTTTCATTTATCGGCTTTATCGTTTCTTCATGTCTCTCTCTTTCTACTGAAGGCACTGGATGACAGAAGGCTCAACTCCGGTGATCTTCACTAACCCCTCCCTTTCTCTCTTCTCTTTAAAATTCATCACGTTTTTGGATCGTTAAAAGCAGCTAAGCTACGAGCTAAGCTAAACAGGCTGACATCGGGGGGAAAAAAACTCCCTTCTTCTCCCCGCTTCTTGTTGAAGCTCCAAAATTCACAGTTGAAACCTGTGCCTTCATGTAAAAAGTTGTTTTTCTCTGCAAAAAGAAGCTGAGAAATTGTTCACTGACTTTTTTTACAAACCGGATTCCAAAAAAGTTGGGACCCTAACAAATTGTGAATAAAAACTGAATGCAATGATGTGGAGGTGCCAACAGTGTTAATTGGTCTTCCAGCTGTTCGTTATATGCTCAATTTCCTTTTTCCAGCCACTTATTGCTACTTGTCCCAACTTTTTTGGGATTTGTTGGCACTGTGAAATTTTGAATCAACATATTTTTCCTTTAAAATGTTACATTTACTCAGATTAAACTTTTGATCTGTCATCTATGTTATATTACGAATAAAATATTGACATTTGCCATCTCCACATCATTGCATTCAGTTTTTATTCACAATTTGTTTAGTGTCCCAACTTTTTTGAAATCTGGTTTGTATTAAAAGCTTTGTGTGAAAAATGCTATGCTAAAGAGCTCAAACCACTCCGAGCATCTGCCATTTTAAGAACTGAAAAAAAGGAGAGACAGCCCATGTCACGTCAAGGGGCCTCCCTCCCATTTTTCTTTAAGAGACATGCTACTCACTCCCTCAATATCCATCCTTCGGTTCAAACGGTCTTATACTGCCATCAGGTGGTCACAAAATGGTACTACACTCAAAACAAATTAACCAACATTTCTTTTTAAATTTGAAAATAATTACCAAGTATTGTCAAATTTCAAACTATATTATCATTTATCGCAATACCTGGATTATTGAGCATGGACTTTGTTGTTTATCGCAATAATTTCTGAGACAATCACCCAGCAAAATTTGTTATTGTGAGAGGCCTACTTTCACTAAGGGCTCTAAGTGGTCCAAGTGCAGATGCCCCCACTTTAGTT